CGAATATTTGGAAAAATAATTAACAAACTCATTTGTTAATTACTAAACCACTCTCGTATCGCTACTCTCGTCCGAGACTCCATCCGAGACTGCTTTCAGCAATGTTTAAGGGACCTTCACATACCCCGTCCACCGATAGACGCTCCAAAAATGTTTTTCTTGCTACTCAAAGCCCTTCTAACTAATCGGAAATAATTAAATAATTAATTTCCCAATTACTTAACCCCTCTCGTATCTCTACTCTCGTCCGAGACTTGATCCGAGACTGCTTTCAGCAATGTTTAAGGGACCCTCAATTACCCTTTCTACCTACTTTGGGTCCACAAACGATTTTCAACTTATCTAATGCACCCTCAATTAATAAACAAATTGATTTGTGAAGGCATAAACAACTCTCGGATGCACTCTCGACGAGAGTCTTTACTGGAGTTTGGCGCCCTAACCTCCGAAAATTCGAGAGTCGAATGAGTGTCCATTCCGAGAGTCCCTAGTCTCGGACTGATCCACCAGGGTCGTTGGGGATGGAGGATCAGGATTTGTTTGGTTAATGTTGGAAATCGCCATCACAAACTATATAAGATAATTAAATTATTAATTTCGAAGAAAGTTTTTATTAAATTCAAGGAAACATTTTATTTCTTTCAATTAAATTGTTTATTCAAATCTGTAAGGAATTTTTACTGGTACCAGCAGTGATCCCAGACTAGTTTGAGACTATCTTCTCTGTCGCTCAATATGTTGAGTGCCACCCAAACTTTTACGGAAAGTCTGATGAAAGCCAGCCTCGGAGGCAATCTCGACTACTCCGAGGAATTCTAGTGGTGAGACTCACAATGCTGAGTCAGCATAAGCGCGGAACGGTAGAGTGGATGAGGTTCACCATACTACGAGTAATTCACTCGATCAATCCTCGTCTTTTCAGCCGAGAAATTACGATAAAATGTGTGTCACCGGAATTGTCACATGTTCTTTGCCGAGAATGTTTCCATTCCTCTGACGTATTCTTTCTCCCTCCAGAATGATTGACTCTGGAGAAATCGACGGTCACCTGCGAATCCATCTCATCCTGTAGGGCGCTGAACAAAGAAAGGCACATGCAATACTGGCATCCGGAGACTCGTTCTCACCCACCTTGTAGCCACCTCAACTCTCAATGCTCAGTAAAAGCAATCTCATCGCGGGCCAACACTTGGACTACTCGTCATGGAGGCACGTGGGGTCGGGTCTCCAGGAGTCTGCAGTGCTTACGATCCACGGATTTACGCCAACACCATTTCTTTCGCCTGAAGATATGCATCCCTGACAACATGGAATTAAAACACCCCGCGTCCTCAAAGTAACCAATTCATTCTGCATGCGACGCTGATGCATCCCATTCTCTCGCTGTTTCGTATCTTGTCTTAACAACGTACTCATATAATCTACTATAAATTAATACCACTAGCAACCGTCATCGAATTATGGATTTTGTTCTGTAGGTAAATGTTTTACTTGTGACGAGAAAATCTCGCTACACACCTCCCTTCTTAGGAGAGGTTTCGACCCGAAAGCTATACGTTCAAGCCGAACTCTCAAGGAGTAGCTCGTCTCTTGACTCTTCGGTCGGAGAGTCGTCTAAGGTTTCCTTATAGGGCTTCATGTCCACTCTTGAGGTATCCTTAGGGGTACGACTAGCTAGGTCAGAAACTTCATAAAAGTTTTTGGAATGCTTTTTGTTGACCACGAAACGTCCATTGGATGGTTTATTCAATGACGCTGAGCGATGCTTAGCAGCATTCGAAAGCTCATGTTTACGAAAGCGGGTGTGGCTTTCAGAGAACTGCGTTGGGCTGTAATGTTTGCGAATCTGAAGGCATCCAAGTAACAATCCCAATCACGGTGATTTGCTTCTTCGTAGGCTCCTATCATCGTTTTCGTGAGCAAATCACTCTCTCAGTGGGGTTTGCTTGTGGATGATATAGCGGGGTCGTTCGGTACTTCATATTAGTTGAAGCAGCCAATCCTTTCAAGTTCTTATTTACGAACTCGATCCGATTATCGGTCAGCAACTCTCCGGGAGCTCCCCATCGATAGGTGATGGTCTCCTCTGAGGCTTTACTTCCCGTAAATGGTCCCATTATGTCCGCCAATTTTCTAAACCATGGTTTTTCGATTGCTCGAGGTCCATTTGTCTTACCGGCGGTTGTTGCTGCACTTTGAAGCGTTGACACTCGTGACATGAACCTACATAGGTCATCACGTTCTCAAACATCGCTGGCCAGTAATATTGGGTGGCTAAGCGTTGGCAGGTTTTATCGCCAGCTTGATATCCAGCCTGCGGCAAATGATGGCTCTCTTTAATGACTCCACACTGTAACTCTTGAGGGAGAACTAATTTCCACTCGTTCAAATCCTCATTGTCGACCGAACCGATAGCGCTCGGTTTAAGATGATTTAATAGCCCTTCAGAGATTCTCTACGAGTGGTATTCCTCTGGTAATCTTTCTATATTTCGACAGCGGCGTAGATACTGTTCTGTATCCCGAACCCAAGATTGTTTCGTTTTGGTTAGACGTGTCAAAGGTTCAGCTACAGTTGGAAAATCTAGTATAAAAAAGCCATACCAGGAAGTCATACTCAGAAGCCGACGAATCTATTTGAGATTCTTAGGTACTGAGAACTCTACGACCGCCGATGTCTTTCTAGGGTCAACCTGTAATCCTTCGCTGTTCACTACGAATTCGAGGTACTTGACGTCGAATCGACAGAATACTTTCTTTTCGCGATTGATATTTTTCCTCCTAAGAGTTCCTCCACCTTATTTATTGTTTTGTCGGTCTTTTCTGTGTATTGTATATGAACACGTCCACTGCCACCTTCTCGGTGGTCAAGTTTTGGAAACGAGAGCAATTAAGTGGCTAAAATAACTTTAAAAAATCTGAAATTTTTTCAGAGTATGGATTTTAATGTGGACTACCTCTGTACAACATTTCAGCCCGCTCGGTCCAATACTTTTTTTTAGAAAAAGCGATTTGTTTTTATCACAATCAAAGAAATTTTCACCGGTATATTAAACATCTGTATTATCCCAAGGGCTATTTTACACGGTTAAGCTTTACATGCTTTTAAAGCAGAAATTACTTGGAAAGCGGGATGCTATATGCTATCCATCGACTTTCCGGGCCTCTATATGAGGGAAATAATTCAATAATTATCAATGCACAAATTAAAAAATTCAGAGGCACACGGGCTCGAACACAAGTGGGGTATGATCCCAGATCCCATTGGCAGAATACATGTCCGGCAAACAGAAGATGTGGGATCACAAATTAAAAAATTCAGAGGCACACGGGCTCGAACACAAGTGGGGTTTGAATTATGGATCTGCAGTTTACACAAGAACTTGAGGTTGATGGGTCCATATCCTTTTTGGATGTGAGGTTAATAAGGGAGAATGAGGGTGTAATTTTCAATTGGTTTACAAAGAGCACTTGGTCCGGGAGAATGTTGAATTTTAAGTCTTTTCATCCTTTGGCACAGAAGCGTGCAGTGGTTTTAAATTTAGTTGATAAAGTTTTTAAAATTTGCGACAGTAGGTTCTTTGATGAGAATATTAGACTAGTCAAAAAAGTATTGATTTTTAATGATTATCTGATAGCGTTCGTTAATAACATTTTGAATGATAGAATTAGGACAATTTTAGAGATGAGAAATGAACAGGTGACTCAGACAACTTTGGAGCCGATTGATTACAAGAAAACTCTCATTGTTCCGTTTTCCAAAGAACTAACCAGCAACCTTAAGCGTTGTTGTCGTCAACATGATGTTAAAGTAATTTCCACCATTAAAAATAAATATGGGAATTTTTACAAATCAACTAAAGATCCAATAGAAAAAGGCCGAACATACAATGTAGTCTATCGGATTCCGTGCGGTGGTTGCGACAAGATTTATGTTGGTCAAACAACAAGATATTTTGACGACAGAGAAAAGGAGCATAAGAGGAGTGAAGGGAACCCTCAATTATATCGGAGTGGCCTTTCTCGGCATGCCAAAGACGCAAAACACCGTTTTGATTTTAACAGAACTTCAATTTTGGGTACAACTACTCCGGGGACCGGTTTGGACATTTTCGAAATGTTTTTCATAAAAAAACAAGGGGAACACGCAGTAAATTATATAACGGATTGTAGAAAGTTAGGGAATGCGTATGACCAATTAATTAAGTATCATTGATAGTTTGGTTTCTTATTGATAGTTGAAGTAATAGGATTTAGATTCACTACTGTGCAATATATAACACATGGCTCACGACACATGATGGTTTGAATGAAATGAATGTGATAGTTGTTTCATTTGTTAGACAATAATTTTAATGAACGGATTTTTCATTTTGAATGAATGTGATAGTTGATTCAATTCTTGTATTTTCAAACGGTAAAGTAGAGATTTTGATTACTGTGGCATTAGGGACATTTTTTGTAAACGGGGTAGCATGGGCGCCGTTGCAAACAGGTGGTAATAGTTTTAGTAACTTTTTTAGTAGCTTTTATAGTGAGAGTTTACCCGCCAAAACGCACAGTCTCCTCATCAAAAACACCATGATGACTGGATGTTTTCGACTTTCAGTAATTTTTTGTTGAAGTTGGTTTTTTTTCTTTTGGTTTTCTAACATCAGTAGCTGCTTCGTTTTTACTTAGCAGTGATTTGGCTTCGTTGAATTATATTTTTTTTTGAAAAAATTGGCGGGATACAGTGTTTGCCACGACGCTTATGTTTTTCCTGGTTTTAGGTTAGGATGGACTCGGACATGGTTTTCATTTACCACCGGGTGATTTTGTTTTTGTTGGATTTCTTTGGTTGCATCAGGTCTGTCTAGACCCCACAACAACAAATGGGGATTTTTGATAAGGTATGGAATTTAAGAATGTCGTACGTGTGCAATAGATGTCAATAGACTGGGTTTGTAATTTGACTGAATTTTGAGCTAGAATGTGTGTTTTTTTGATTTGTTTGTGCAGAATTAATAAATGCCCTGATGAGGAACACCTAGAGTGTTCGAAACATTGCCAATTAATGAGAATACTTCTTGTTTTTAAATTGTTGTGATGACCGTTATTGGCTGAGAGTAGTTGGAGTTTTTGAAGGTCAATTTTTATGTTTTTTTTCAACAACAAATTCAATTGTTTAACAAAAAATATGTATAACTCTCCTAGGATCTGCAGTTCTTTTTTTCGTAAAGTTCATCTCAGAAGTTATCGAGTTATAAATTTGTTTATAAACAAAAGAGTGTACTTTCCCCGCCAATCGGTTCATAGCATTATTGTAGAATTTAGCGGATATGCACGTCATGGAGGTGTGAGCATTGTTTTTTGCGGAGAAAAGTTGCTTGATTGCGATTGAACAATTAACAATAGAAAATATAAATATATTTTCACATTTTGTTATAAACAATTTTTTTTCGAAAAAAATTTTGCGATGTCGTTATATTTCTTTAACAAAGTAATGAATTGAACACATACATTTTCGGAAGTTTGCCAATTTGCTTTATTTATTAATTGGTCAATTACTTAGTTGTGTAAAAAATCATTCTTATGCATTCCAACGGTATGCTCTAGGTTGAGGCAATGATATTCTATATTTGGTCTGCCGATGGTCTGCCCGTCTAGTAGTCTAAAAAATATTAATAGTATGCCTATAAAAATTTCGTTTTACACTATTTTACTATACTAGAAGCGTTCCTTACATACAAGTCATAGATGATTAATCTGCGAAATTCAATTGATAAAAGATTCAACTAGATCCTCATGGAAATTATTTTCGACCATAATGAATTTTGAATTCTTCATCTATTGAATAAATCCTACATATGACTTTATGGGAATTTGGGATTGGAATGAAGGAATGATATTTTCTTATTCCACAGATAGTAAGTGCATATTTGAAGCGAGGTTTTTTCTTCAAATTTTGATTTAATTTTTTTGTTGTAATACTTACCCCCGATTTATGAGTGCGTTGAGGGACCCGGGCTCCCAGCTGATGTTGGTGATGAAATTCAACGGCTGAATGTGCTGCATGATATATAATGTTGAATGTCCTTTCGATTTTTCTGCAGGTCTATGAGCTGGGTAAATTTGTAAGGATGTTGATTTTCTCCGCTGGCGTTTCGGCTTCCTTCAGCCTTGTCTTCATTTCTCCCAAGAATATGTCATCAGGTTCTTTGAAATCCTCAGTCGAACGTCGTGTTCAGTCTTTGGGGATGTTGGGATGTCGTATTAGATGCAAAGCTTCATTTATCAGACGAAAGAAGATTTCAGGTTTAGTTTCCTCAAATTCTGAATTTTATTGCTGGTTCTCCTTCTTTTTCTGCTTCGGCTTCTGCATCTGAGTCATCCAATTCAACTTGTAATGTATTATCACAATCAGCTACAGGTTGTTTTTCTCTTTCTTTTCGCTTACGGTTCAGACCGTTATAACAGCTATGACAAATGAATTCACACAACAAATAATCAACAATCTGTTCAAGAAATTGTGCTCGAAATTGATCGTTTACAGCAAACGTCTTTTTTGAAATCTTCGAATGGCCTGTTTTCGAAAACGGATTGCAGCAAAATCTACCACGCATCATTAATACTGTATTATAGTGTGGAGAAGTAAAACTCGTCACGATATTTCCATCACGAATGGAGTCAATGCATGAAGCGCTGGTATTTATTCCCAAGCCAATAGGAATTGCATCTGATTGGCTAGTTACTTTGTGCAAGTAAATATCAATCAATAACAAAAATATCCCTTGATATTAGTTAGGACCGCCACATTTATTGCGAACGGAAGTTTAATCAAGTGACGAATACCCCTGCCCCACCCTCATGAGTCACCTGCATACCTGTCACCCTCCAGTCAAATTCAGTCAGGTTTTCGCAGAATTTGTTCTTGTCTCAACAACAGTTAGAATATATCTTGAGTTCGATTGTTGTAAAATAATCAAAGAAAACGCACTCACACGTAAGCTAGAATGAAATCCTTGCATTTTTTTCCATGAATCCTGTGTCGTTTCACCTGAGAAAATTAGCAGTGACGCTCAGTGCCGTATCAACAGCACGTGGCTCGCACGCGCCATAAATCATACCAATGAAGTTCGGTGCCGTACCACGCGATTTATAAGGCAATCGAAATGAATCAACTGAACTAAAATTTCAAACTTATTTCAAATTAATCACATGAATATCCAACAAATTAAATTGAAGTTGAAAAGTGAGTGAGTGGAGTGAATAAATAGTGAGTGATCAATATTTGAGCATTGTTGAGCACCCTGGACGTCGTACTGCTTGAATGATCAAGTGACTTTTTCATTTTTTTTTACATTTATTCATTATGTAGGTAGCGATTCAGCAGTGAAAAATGAACCAGTTTCACTCAGCCATAGATGCGTCTCTCATCGCTGACGGTGACACTTTTGAGGAAACCCTGGAGACACAAGAAAGACGTTTTGCAACCTTGGAAGGCGTTGTTGCTGGCTTCAGGGCATTACCACAACAGTGCAAGACTTTCAGCCCGGTGAAGGTCGCGTGGAAGCAGTTGAAGACTTATTACCTGGAGATCAAGGTCTTGGACAGACGTCTGCACAGATTAGCCACTGAGGACGAGAAGAAAAATCTTTACTTCATTGAGTCCAAATTTATACAGATAGAGACTCAATATTCTCATGATCTGACCCTGCTATACGAGGCTATGGATAATTTCACACCTGCTCCTGTAATCCCTCAAGCTCATGATGTCATCCCCTTGAGAATTCATTTTTCAAGTCGAGAAGATCAAAACCCCAAAATTTAATGGAAAAATTTCCAAATGGAATAATTTCAAGGGGCTTTATGTGAAACTGGTCCATGGGAATATTACCTTAGTAACCATCCAGAAGTTTTTCCTCCTTCGCGCATCTCTTGAAGGTGAAGCCCTCGATCTTATCGACAACATTGTAGTGAACGATGAGAATAATGCTTCTGTGTAGAAAATTTTAAACGACAGATACGAAGATGAGAGTAGGCTCGTTTGGACACACTTGAAAGAGCTATTTAGCATCACAAAGATGAAAAATGAGTCGGCTGATGAAGCTCCTCGTATTCATGATCAGACCGTACGCGCACGTGAAATCTTAGGAAACCTGAACAGAAAAGTCGAACAATGGGATGACATTTTGGTCTACCTCACCGTAAATAAGTTCGACATTGAGACGTGCAAGCATTAGGAGCTGGACGTCAACAACATTAACGCGTTTCCCTCTTTCTACGATGTCAAGGAGTTTCTCGATGAACGCGCCAGACGACTGGATCGTCTTCCAGCTGGTCCCGCTGCAACGCGTTAATACAACAAAGCAACAGTCAAGGTTATGCGCACAATAACCGATCAAAAGGTCGTATGCCCTCTTTGCAATACAAATCACCGCTTAACCATTAACCATTTCTTGAAAGGGGATTTTCGATCACACAAGTAATCGTCGATCTTCTTACCTCAACTTATTGATTGGTGAATTAGTTGAAAATTTGAACTACCATCTGACCTCTAGAGTGACAATGGTACCACCTTTCAAGATGTGACGGAGCAATTGCACCAAAACCCGGACGTGCAGCACAATATTGCCTCCAAGAAGATTGAGTGGCACTTCGTTCCACCCAGTTCTCCTCGCTTTGACGATCTCTGGGAAGCAGGGGTAAAATCCGTCGAGACCCTGATGAAGAGACTGCTGGACAACTGCACCCCGACCGTTGAAGAATACACTACCCTTCTCAGCATGATTAAGTCCAACTTGAATTCAAGACCACTTGGACTCTTTCGCGATGATCCAGAAGATGCAGCTCTTCTCATCTAGGACACTTTCTGATTGGCAGACCTCTGCATGCAGTCCCAACTCCCTCAACTCTAGAGTTGAATTCAAACAGGTTATCGCGTTGGCAGTTCATCCACCATCTTAATGAGAATTTTTGGAATCGATGGAGGAACGAATACTTCCACTCATTGCAGACGCGTCAGAAGTGAACTTCGGAACAAGAGAACTTTCAGATCAATGACATAGTTCTCATCAAGGACCCATCAACTCCTCCAAGCCAGTGGCCGCTAGCTCGGGTCATAGCGCTCTACCCAGGACAGGAGGCAAAGTCAGATCTGTGAAGCTGTGAACAAGTACCTTTACATACACGATACGAATCGTCAAGCCGATTCCACGATGCGTTGGAGATGCCATGGCGGGCGGAGCCATGGCGGGCGGTGCACCCCCTCTAATTGCGTAACAATCACTCAAGTATTGACACATTGAATTTTTTTTAGACTGTTTCAGATAGCAACCTCCTTCGTTCTAATTAACGGAGAACAAGACGGGCGATATGTTCGCGATTGCTGGAAGTAACCACGCCACGCGCCTGAAGTCAATCACGTGATCCTCAAAATTTCAGGGTCAATACGTGATCAGCTGACGAGGAACGAGAAACTGGCAGTTAGCGAGAGTACCTTGATAAAGTTAAACGTAACTCCGTGAATAGTACAATTATTCGCGTTGTTTTGCAATACCTAGAGTGTGTTTTTTTGAGTTGTGCAATTAAATATTGTGTTTACAAATTGGTGATTATGGAATCCAGCATCTTGTGATAACCATCCTTTGTTATTAAGTAATTAATTTGAATTCTAAAGGCAATTTCGCACACACTCTTTTCTGAAGGAAAATTGCAAATCAATTTTTTCTCTAATACGCATATTTTTCAAGATAAAAAATTTTGACTTGCCATAACTTGAAAAAAAAAAATTTCACTTTTTTTTTAGACATTGGCTCATCGCGGGCTCCTCCACAATATAACAAATTGTGGTAAAAAAAAACACGCATTTTTTTGATCGAAAAAATAGCGTGGAATGTCCCATATCTTC